AAAGCTCTACATCACATATATATATATATATATATATATATATATATATATATATACATATACATATACATATATATATATAAAGGCAGAAGAATTCACAGAAATATGAGAGTTTATAAGAATCTAACTATCTCCACTCTCTGAATTTCTCTCGAGTTTTATAAAAAAAAATCTGTCTTTTTTTTTCTCGTAAATTTAGATATGTAAACATGCAAGCCATGATACTTTCGAAATAGCCACTTTATATTGGTTTCCAGTGCATGACTTAAATTTGATCTCTCGAAGGAAGATCGAGGATGATCTCTTTACCGGCAATTTCGATTACAAGGCATTCGTACACGATCGCGGCGTCGTCGTTTTACAGGACTCTGGAAGATAATCGGTCCTTTTCATCTCCACGATGCAGTGTACTTGTTGTTATTTTGATCTCGATTAACAATGCAAATCTCTCCTTGCATGGAATAAATCCAGGCAATGATTTAGAAAGCGAGTCTCGTTATATTGTCGATTCTCTCGTGCGCGTGCGCGGATGGGAATCCCCTATTTTGTCCGTGCGCGAAGAAGATTACATCGTGTATCCCGTTTCTTCGATAGATCGACAATAGATCATATGTACCGGAGATGGATGAGATCTCTGGCAAAAGCCGAATCCGCGCGATCGGTGACAGTTACATTTCCAGTTGCGACGAAAGTGTGTCACGGTTAATCCCTTTTTTTTTTGGTTAACTTATCGTTTTTATTGTATCTCTTCATACTTTCGATTTCTTAGAAATTAAATCTTGTACTTTTATCAAAATTTCTCATCAAAGATTTAACTTTCCATAACGTCTGATATGCAAATTGTTCCTGTATTTAGATGGGACTACAATTAGATTTCTAGACACTTGCACATACGTCCGCCTTATCTATGAAATAATTCCATTCGTTAAACATCCTTCAATCTTAGTTATCTCCGTTTATCTAGATCGCTCGATTTTTTTCTATAAGAATATAGAAAGAATTTTCGCGTCTTGTAGAGTTCAAATTGCATCTCGCAATCTTGGAAGTTCCTTTTCTACATCTATCAGTTCTTATTCTATCGATATTTCTCGTTCAGGAGGCTGCAATGAATTTTTTTCTCGCAACGCATGATCAAATCGTTTCTCTATTAACATTGACAATAACTTTCTCGAGCGTAACAACCTCTAATATAATGAGCATCTTTATTTGCCGCAGGAATACTACGCCCCTTCAGCTCTATACTACCGATACTACGAGGTGTTTATAAGTTTATTTATCGCTTATTTATTGTATTTAATTCTATTAAGGCTATTGTGTTCGATGTGCTTCCGTGTCTTCTCTTCTGTTTCTTCTTAAGTGCACGTGCTCTTCATTTTAATCAGCTCCGAGAAATATGAGCTCTCTTTTTTTCTTTGTCAGTATACCGAAGGCGTTAAGTTTCAACATTCAAAAATCTAAGATACAATAGATATTATTGAGACTCAAAATTTAAATATTAAAATATGTAAAACTTTAGAAATACAAGAAATCAAAAATCACGGTTCGGAAATCCTAGAAATTCAAGAACTTATTGAATCAAAATTATAATGTAAATATGATTATTTAAAAACAGGATTGCTACAAATCTGGAAAAACTGGAAAAACCGGGAAAAGTCAGGAGAAAATATAAAAGTGACTGGAATTTTGAACTTTGTTCACAATTCTCTTAAACTGCTCTTATTCCAAATAATTGTTATAATTTTTTAAATATATCTGACGCTTATAGTCAAATACGTTAAAAACTTGTGCATTTTAAACGATTTAAGAAAAAATGATTAAAATTTATATTTTATTTAGTAATTTTATTTGATCGCCACTTTTTTTGTCATAACTGCATTCTTTTTTCCAATTTATTTTTTGTTGATTTGAATTTGTCCCCAAAATTTTATTACGCTACTTTTGCATTTTTAATAATATAAGCTAGCTTTCTTACAATTCTTGATTCTAAATGTTAAAATTTTTTGTATATTTTATAATGTTAAATTTTTTACATATTTTATATTAGTCATGGAAATTTCTTAATTTTATGTGGAAAAGTCAGAGAATTTTAAAATTTATTTTCTGTGGCAATTTTACAAAATTTCAAATATTATAATGAACGTATGGGATTTTTTTAAGAATGACATGTGTAAATAATTTGTGTAACGATCTAAAAATTTAAGTCTTAATATACGACTTAATATTCGAATCTTTTTGATCACAAATTTTCGAAAAAGCGAAAGCCACGTGTCAGTAATCGTAATGACATAGCAGCGAGCGTAGCTAATTGGAATTGTCGTTACCAACTGCTACGACACTTTCGCGTATTAGCCGCGTTTTCTATCCTTGGGAAAATGTCGCTTTTCCAAAGAGATCAAATCATCCAAATGACATTGATCAAGAAAAATCATTTTTTATTTATCTCGCGAGTTATACAAAATCTTAAAGTGATAATAATCGTGTTAAAGATATTATTATAACTGATTAAATATATTAATTCTATTTGTTGTAGATTTTCTCTATCGACATAGCGTCACTATTGATAATGTCACAACGGAGGTCGAGATACTTGACACATCTAGGTGCGAGGTAAGTTTCTATAATGATTATGTATTAAATTCAATCAATTAAAAAAATGCACATATTAAACATCTTAACATTTGTATTTATAATGTATAATTTTAATTATTAATTATATCAAAGAATAAAATGATGAAAAAAAATCTAGATTCTCTCTTTAATAGAATGAAGGGAATAATTTAAAAAGTTAATTGTATTAAAGATTATCTTTCTTACATCAAAAGACTTCATCATCAATCTTACTTAAATTACATTATTTGAAATCATAAAACATGCGCTTTTCTTACTACATTTACATGCGCAATTATCTTTAATGATGAACTTGACAAATCGATTTACTTCTTTGAATCACATTCGATTGCACTCTTGTCACGAGAATAATACAAATCGATACAACGGTATCTTGTGCATTTATATATGTATATATTTTTACGAATCTTTCATCCTTATATAATCTGTAAGAAAGAAATCCTGTGCATTCAAAATGAATTCGTTTCGCGAGCGTCCCGAGACGAGACAGGGTCTTTCAAGGGTCCGGTCTAAATATATCTTCTTTCAACGGAGGTCCCGTATATAAGGCTCCTGTAATCCTTAAGGCTTACATTCATCATACGCTGGCAAAACGAGTGACTCGCAAATCGCGAAGACGATGGTCTTGCAGAGCGATTTTGAATACTCGACACGCGTGTCCTTCTGTTATCTGAAGAATCTATTTGAGAATCAATTAAATGATCTAGATATTTCAAATAAATTTTATTTTGCATTATATACAAACGCCATAGAAATTAACAAGCATAAAAATACTATTATTATATTTTTATCTATTATGTTAAAATGTATTATGTTAAAATATGATATATCATATTTGACGTAGTCAAGTATCTAAAATATTCAGATTGATCTTTTTTTCTATTTTATTTTGAAGTGTATTTATTATTTCTTAGGATAACTCTTTGTAATGTGTGCTTTCTACTTTTTGATGTATACTATAGAAACATATGTACTTTCCATACTTTCTCTGAAAAATGATACTTAACTGTGAGTCTTCTCGCAGATCGGCTCCAGGGCGATCGTCTCTACCTGACCTTTCCTAACCCGATTCTTCTAGAACACAATAACGAACATCGCACTGAGGCGGAAATCCTGCGAGCTGGTCCGTTAGTCCGTTAACATTGTCCGTTTGAATTGAATAACGAAGTCTTTAAATTCGAATCTAGGCGACTGCGATTGCACGAACAACACATGGCTTCACCTGTCGCGATCAAAGAACTCGTTGGAATTTCAGCGAGGAATTTGCTTATTTATAGCATCGAATAAGGCATTGTTTTTTTTTTTCTTCTCTTTCTATGAAATCGTTGTTAGGCTCGGGAATGTAAACAACAATAAATTTGCGTAATGATATATTGATTCGATTTTTGAAGTTTTTTTATTTATGTTGTGTAAAGAGTTTATGTTTTAAAAGTTTACAGCCACGAAATTGTTTAACCGAAAAATTCCGAAACTAAAGTGCTTCGTTTTTTTAGTTCTCTAATTTTTAAAATCTCAAGTCCGTTCAGCTTGTCTTGTTTTAAAAATTAAAAAGTAAAAAGCGATTCTCTGAAAATCTTTTGAAAATTTCTAATCTTTCAAGAATTCAAAGCTGCAAAATTTTTTTAAGCTGCAAAAGTCGTTTGATAAATTATTATATTATTGAAACGATAGTTTCCTTGTAATTTGATAATGAGAAAAGTAGTTTTTACACAGTAAATTGCAATTATTGTTTTTGCGGATCCCACTTCGGCTCCGGTTCGTTTTGGCATTTAACTGTATCTTTCCCTCGATGAGCGGTGAGAAAGTTCATTCATAGAAAGTATTTCCTGCATAAGTTCAAGTATTGCGACTCTCTGGCGCCTTTTCAACGTGGCAGAATGACTGCGTGCGTTTATTACGTTAGAGTTAAACATGAAACGTCATACTTCAAAGAATAGATTTTTTAACGTCAAATAACATTACTGTCATAGCCTCATTAATTTATATTCAGTTGTCATCGGAGAGACATAGAAACAATAAAAATGTTAAGAAGGTGTACGTTTCTTTCTGATGACGTATAAAAATAATTTAAAGCGATATAATCATTTTAATATAATTTTTTGTTTTGTTCAAAATACCTTGGAATGTATTTGTGACTTTCTCCTGGGTGGTGAGACGCATAATTTCCGCGGGATGAAGATTTTAAGAGATATTTTAAAACGGATTTCCAAAAGCTCCGCTTCTCACGTACTCGTCACACGCACGTTGCCACACCGACACCCGTTGGTTATTCGGTAGCCTCACAACGAGACTCGATCAGGCCCGGGTTGTTTTTAGCAAACTGGTTTTTCTACCCGGGGCTTACAATTACCGGCTTCCTTTTTTACGCTGGTCCCTGAATGTTTGCACCTGTCGCTTAAAAGACCGCGAACCATGATCCGTAGGATAGCAGGCTAGATATCGATTCTTCGTCTTATATTGAACAATTGATATGTTTTTCACTTCTTAGATTTTCAAATTATCAAATTCGTCTGATTCTTAAATTTTTAAACTTTTCAATTTTTTCATCCAAACATCGTAAGTTTATAGGCAATTAAATCCTAATAGATATTTATATTGATAAAATTTTGTTAATTTTATATTTTATTATTTCTCGAATGTTCTTTAATTTTTAGTATTATTTTCCTCATAATTCGTGCCTCAAGCTTTAAATTTTATCCGCGATAACTTCGATATTCAAATTATCTCTTTTAGAGATACGAGTGCATTGAGCAACACTAACTACACGACTCGCTGGCAAACAATGCTTGTCCATTTAGAGAACCTTGTACGTGGAACGCGTAAGGATGCATGCACCGTTAGCTTGTAGATACAATAAATAATCTGGAACAGGAAGCGATACTGGCGATTTGTATATGTACGCGCATAAAATTATATTTTTAATGCTTCTTCATCCGCTAACATTGTTAGATTCTTAAAAAATATTTTGACAAAGATTTTATATTTAAATGTAACAATTTTTTGCAATATTAGCTCTATACTTTACGTATTTTTTTTTTATGTAAAATTTATTACTGATCTTTATATATAATACACACAGATGAATTAATTAATGTGATTTTTGCTTCTTAAAATTTTCGGTTTTAGATTCCGACATTTTTGTACAATTTTTAGTTGTTGCTCAACTTGATATTCAAAGTGAATAGAAATATTTCAAATTCAGTTTAGCAAGAAAACTTAAGGAATGCTGTTGGGGAACAGGATCTAGGAAGATCGATATCGATGTGGATCAGTGTGGCAGTAGTGCAGGAAGTCAGATTCCGTATCGAAGAAGAAGCGGAGATTATTAAATACACCATCAGCGGACAGTTCTTTAATTCCTCTGTATCAGACCAATATATCACATTCAACGCGTGAGGTCCCATTGTGAACGAAACTTTTAAATCGGTTCCCTTTACTCTCGGCAAATACTCTCCGCGAAGCTCCACTACGTGCGCCAGGATCAATCAATCCTGGACAACGCGCTGTTTATCACGACTGCAATATTTACGAGCAACGTATCGTTTTCATCTCGGCATTTTTGTTATCAGGTTGCGTCGACTATAACTCACGTTCAACTTCAGTAAATCCGAAAGCTGTCGACTGTCGTGTGATTAAAATTTTTTACATTGGAATATGATTATATGGACGTTTACCTGCACGTTCTATGCATCTAAATTTCAATCTCCTCCAGTTAAATTTCAATTTTTCAATTTTTGCATTTGTCAAGTGTCATAATTTCATATTTTCACAGTCAGACTTCCAATCAGGCTTTTTTCAGATCTTATATTTTTATATTTTTTAATTTGATCTTAGGTTGCTTGATACACGGAATGAATGATTATACTGAAGTTTCTGAAAATTTAATTAAATACAGATTTAAAAATAATTTAATTGAAAATAATTACGTAGGGAACTCAAATATGATGAACAATCCTGCAAAAAGTGCAACAAAATTTCATATTTTAGCACAATTTGAGCATAATTATTTTAATCCAATAAAATTATTTTCTATATATTTTTAAATACTTTAGAAAAACCGTTTTCTTTTGCATGTATTCATGAAAATCCTTATGTTCTGATATTGCCAAACTCGTATGCATTCAAGTTACTCTTAAATTATCGAAGACCCCAGGCTCTCAAGTTACTCGTGAGAGAAATCCAGATACTGATTATCTTAACTATATCTGAAAATCGTGCAATGGATATTAGAACAAACAGCCGATAATTCGTCGCTAAGCTAAAACCTCGGCCGCACCAATAAAATACATAACGCACCGTTCGCCGTGTAATCTTCCAATTATCCCAGCATTCTTCTCACTTTTATCTAACTGCGATATTATACGCCTGGTATATTATATTTAATACCACAGGGGGAACTAGCGTACGATTCGCAATAGGTTCATCTTGTATTTCGACTGCGACACGCTGAATATTATCGCTGCTTCATCTTTGAATGTATTGTAGAATCGTAATCATCATCTTGTCTTTCTTATATTTCGAATGCATATACTGGTATCAAATATTTTATAGAATTATCAAATTTCTTCCAATCTTATTACTAATAATAAATAACTTTAAATATGTACGTATTAAATAATTTAAATATTAATTTTTTTCTTCTTAGACATAATTATTCTCTCTATCTTTTTCTGATATTTGATAAGTACTCACTATAATTCATTCAACATTTTTGTTTCTTACAAACATACTGTTTATCGCATTATAATATGTGAAAAAATATATATACAAGTTTCTGAAATATTATTATTTTACGACATATATTATTTCGATATAACTGCATGTAAATAAATGTGATTCACTTTTCATTGTAGCTTTATAAGTTATGATTTAACGTGAATCGTGTATCTTTTTCCGTGGAAAAATTTCTTGCCTTGATGATAGCTAATCACGTTGCGCCAGACGTTACGAGGATGCCGTGGCTTAAAGGGCACATAAGC